AGTAAGACCGTTCGGTATCAAATTTACGATTACAGTTATTTTCTCGGCACTCATATATTTTCACCGCCTTTACCGACCTATGAATGTCTTTGATATGTTTATGGAGTTTCTTTAAATTAAAGAACGTGCGTTGACACACACAGCACACAGGCATGGTTAAAAAATTTTAAACCTTAAAACTAAGATGAAAAATCTGTAAGCGTGAATGAAATGGTGCAAGTAACTGCAATAAGTTGATAGGTGAATGAACTTTGATTTCCTTTTTTCAAAAAGAAATCACTTTGAAAACTGACCCCCAAAATCGCCCACTGGAAACGGCAATGCCAATAATGTTGAGTCCCGAAAATTGATTTTTTTTTGTTTGAAAAACTTGAAAACCTGTTAAAAGGACATTTTACTTCATTTTGATTCAAATTTGATAAAAAAAATTAAACCTAGTGCTCTGACTGTCGCTAAATCGTTTCCAAATATTTATGGTATAATATTGCTTTACTGTGAATCGATTTTTCTATTTAATTTACTGTTCAGAAATAGTTTGTCCAAATAGAGTAGCTGATTTTCTCCAAAAGAAAAAAAAATGGCATTACTACGCTTACAGAAATTAAAGTACTTCAAAGTCCATGTTGTCAATATCCATTGCCACAAAATCATCAACTTCGGTCTCAACCTCAGGATTAATTAAGTTCAAATCAACAGCAAGAGTAGTAAGGGAAGCATATGCAGATTCAACATCAAATGGGGTTGTGATTTTATAGATGAATTTTTGTAAAAAGGCCCACACAGAAAAAGTTTCGGGCGGGTAAGTAGCATTAAAAACCATGTATGTTTTGAATGTCAAATCTAAGAGAGATATTATATCTGGTGCTTGGTAGAAATTCCCTTGAAAGTACGTGAAGTATGCATCAACCGACACGTCTCCGACTAATACGATAAATGCCTGGCAGCGTTTCTTATTTTTTTTTTGGTATAGATTTACCCTATCTAATATATCAGTCTCATAAGTAGCTGTTTGGGAACATAACAAAAACGTATCGACCACCTCTCGGCGTGATGGGCGAAAGGAGCCAGCCTCTTGTGGTTGGTTGTTTTCTTGTCGCTTCCGTTTGCGGATGATGTTTAGACCAAATGGAACAATGTACAGGAGTAACCGAAGGGCTGTAAGATTCCGCTGTTCTTCATCTAAACGGTTCAAACAGAAAAAGATATATATATATATATATATATATATGAGATCAAAAATTAATTATCAAACACCAAACGGGTGGTAGAAATTTTACTAAACTGATTACTTGGATAGAGCTAACAATACCAATAAATTTTTAAGCATTATTGCTGTAATGCTGTTTAACAGTTTCAATATCATGGTAGGATTAAGTAGACACGCAGTGTAGTTTGTCTGACTCCAGGTTGTCGGCAACTAGAGTACCTTTATAGTAGGAGTAAGATCATGTCGGAATCCAACGCTGGTTCGCTTTGCGATTCCTGTGCTTTCATTGGCTGTCATGGAGCACTTAGGGCCGAATGTAAACAAGAAAGATGGCCGCCTTAACCCCTTGACTCTGTCGCTTGACGTGAGAAATCCGTGGGCCTTCGAAGTTTCCCTTGAAAACGCCTTGAAAACGAAGATATTAACGTTTTTATTTCACATTGGTTACGAGGAATTTGAACTGCCTGCTCACAAGAAACTCCAAGCTCTACGTGAGTCAAATCGCGCACTACAACGGTTTCAGCAAGCTTCTCAATCGAGCGATGATCGTTTCCCGACATGTGTTGTTCAAACTATTAGCAATTTGCTATAGCTGAGCCAAAACGTCAAGATTGAGGTTGCCAAATTCTTATATCGCAGAGACTGGCATGATAACGTTTAGCGCGCGATGTGAATCACGAAAAGCTTTGAGTTTTAATGAGCGAGTGGGTTGAATTCACTCCCCAAGAATCATTAAATATCTTCGTAAGGAGGCAGTTTCGGTAATTTTCGAGGTGCGCATCGTGTTCTACGTAAAATTTTGGTTACGAAACGCGTATGAAAATGCTGAAATGGTCCATTCCCAGATAACAATTTCAACGTGGACAACAACGTAGAATTTAACGTTTCCCGTGAAACCTTCCACGTGGAATGCAACGTATACCGGAACGTGTAATTCTACGTAGGCGTCCATGTGTTAAGTACCGGTTCCGGAACGTTCCCGCGTAAACGTTGTTGTGTCAACATAGCAGGGACGTTGCAGCGGGAACGTTCCCAAGATGTCCCACGTGCACCGGAACGTGTACGATGACGGCCTGCTAGCAACAAAATATTTTTAGAATATTCTGAAAATATTCAATGGAAGATTGGGACTTTCAGAGAAAATTCCCGAGAATGTTTGGTGAACATTACTTTTTAACCCTCTTTGAGAATATTCGCAGGAATATTCTGAGAACATTCATAGAGGTTATTTGGTAAATATTCTAAGAGTATTCTTTGAAGAACATTCTGTTGAATATTCATAGAACCTACTGGATGAATCTCTAGTTCTAAATTATATTTCAAATTCGGAAGAGATCTCTCTACATTCAAGCTTGCACCAGCATAAATTCTGTCCTATAACACTCACAAAATAATCTACTGGCATTGATAGTTTCGCTACCAAAAATATTCAATCACCACTTTCATTGTGGTGCGTACACAGCTTCCCACGACCGACAATTTCCAATCTATGTTTGAAACTTTATTCATAAAGCTTAACTCTGATCTCGCGATAAATTTGGACTGAGACGCTTGATCAAAACAGAACTCAGCTTGCTTAAAGTTGATATTTTGACCTTCTAAATGCAACAAAATTTAAAATGATGACTCAGACTGTGATAAAAATGTCCAAGTTCCACAATGTTTAGGCTTAAGCACAACAGTTTTACGACTCAGCAAAATATGCCGTATGTGTGGCAACACTATGTTTTTCTTAATGGTAATTTTTTAAACTCCGGTAAATCATTGGAAAGCTGAAGTTGTGTGGTTATAAATTTTCTTCAATTCTCTTCACCCCTGCCAGTAGCTAATTGGATTTTCAGTAGGAAAAAAGATCTTTAAGTTTAAAGATTGCCCCAAGTTCAAGACCAGAGTCGTCAATCCCCTTGAAAAGAATAAACTATGTACCACCCCTGAACTAACAGTTCACCATGCATTACAAGATTAAATAACTTGAATTTTTGAGGTATACTTACAAATCTCTGTGTATAATGGCCGATATCGGCATTCAATCCAACCATAATCATTGGCTTGATGCTCAATTCTTTTACAAATCAACTTTGATGTATTTTTATTCGGAGCTTTTGTTGGCCAAAGGCAAAACCCTTTTGCAAATATCCAATTTGTGGGTATGATTGTTATCTCTTCTCGTCCAGAATCGTCTTCACATGCCCCAATATGATATAAGCTGAATCAACAAAACCAGGTAGAATTAAAATAAAGTATTTAAAACAGCCTCTCTTGTGACATGAGTTCTTATACTCTTCAGGAAGACTATAAAGCTTTATTCAAAGAAAGGAGAAGAGAAAGCTGAATTTCAACAACTGCAGGAGCTGACAGTAGCTTTTGCTGAAATGTATGAGAGACTGAGTAAATGGATTGCATTTAACAAAGAGGAACCTAGAGCGTTCCAATGTTGCTAGGATTGTGCAACTTAAATTCTTTGCAATAAAATTACCGAAATCGTGCAAAAAATTAAATTTACAAAGGTGATTGATCCCTAGTAGCAATTTTTTTTTTTTACGTAAAAAAAAAGTAATTTTTAAATTTTTTTACGTAATAGTTCATGAATTTACATTTTTTTTATGTAAAATTTACACCACAGTTGACGCCTTCTTGCCAATTTGACATAAAAAAGACTTAAATTTACATAAATCTAAGTTTTTCTTACGTAAAAAAAACTGGAATTTTTATTAATTTATGTCTTTTTTATGTAAAATTGGCAAGAAGGCGTCAACTGTGGTGTAAATTTTACATTTAAAAAAATGTAAATTGATGAACTTTTACGTAAAAAAAAAATTAAAAATTACTTCTTTTGTTTTGTAAAAAAACCTTTTTTTAAAGTAAAAAAAGGTAAAAAAAAAAGTAAGCTTAGTTTTTGATGTAAAAAAAAAGGAGGCCCCTTGCGGAGAAGTGCACCTGAGGGTCTCCCATTTTCATAAACGATATGAGAATGGGAGGCCCCTCGGTGCGATGCTCCACAATAGGTACGTAATGGAAATTTAATCAATAAATTATCCTCTTAAGAACCTAATTTTATGATTTCTGAAAATTACTCTACCTGTCCAATGACCAACTTACTCTATACTGTCAGATCATGAAAAGTGAACTTCTTACGTCAACTGAATTTATAACCACTACCTAGAAATACAAACATATAGGACAACTGCAACAGAAATTGGCCTAACAGCATGTGATGTTTTGCCCAATAACTTATCAAGTATTACATTTTGTTCCGAAAATTTAGCAAAAGACCTACCTCTTGTGTCATGAAAGCTTTATATACTCTTAATGAATGATATTAGCAAGGTGGTAAAATAGTTCTGAATCCACAGTAGTTTGCAGGATAAAAAAAGGATACTAAATGATATTTGAACAAAAAATTAGAATTTAATAATAATGAAAAGTACATTATAAATAATAAGTGAAACTTTAGAAGAGTGAGTCTATGAGACGCATTTAGGGGACGGGGGAATAGATCTAATAAACATCATCATCTCCAGAGCCAATGGAGCCAAGCAAGCGGAGTTTAAGTCACTAAAAATCCAAGTAAGAGATAAAACTGGCAACACTGGCGAGATAAGAATAAAATTCTGATGCAAAAGTTATATAACAGAGAGAGAAAAATTGAGCTGAAGTCTTGAAGGGCAGATAGAAAACTCACAAAAAATAGTAAAAAAGATCGAAAAAACAAAAAAGGGTTACACAGTTCGAAACGCTAAAAAACGGAGCGTTACACTTGGACCTGGCGCCGTTGCCAGACCATGAAGCGCATTTAGTGATTATCAGATTCGCTCAATGAGCTGTTAGATGAGCTGTTCGATGAGCTGCTTGCGGAGCTCGATGTGCTCTCGCTGCTTTCCTGGAGGGGCACATGGGGCACATTCGTGGGCTGAGACCTGGGAACCAAAAGAGATGACTGTGATCACATGCTGGCGCAAAAAAAAAGACAGGTGAGATAGAGGGGGGGGGGGACCTCAACCACTCGGGGAATTGAACATTTGAAGAAAAAATCAGTTTCTGAAAAACAGAAAAGGTAGCCTCGTGCATGAGAGAAACTAGACGAACTGTACCCAAAAAATAATGGGCCCCATAAAAAATGAGACTCCCCCTAAGCCCCTTTCCAGATGAGGTTGTTCTCCCAGACTTTTCCCATTGAGTGTCCAAATTAGTATCACGCAAGGTACAAGAAATCTTAAAACTAACTCTGTCCTGAATAAGCAGTTCATATAAATGGAGAATTTGCAAGGGTCTGAAATTTGATGAATTTCCTGTTTAAGTGGAATCCTCTGAGTGAACTGAACACGAAGATACCCTTGATTCATAAATTGAGCGATTATTAGAGGAGATATGACAAAATAACCTAATTTGCCAAAATACATGTGTTTAAATGGGAAATGCCGCCAGATGACGTCACAAGGCGGCACATTTTCTCACTTTTAAATCAATTTTTCTCCAATTTCCCATGTCAGAAAAAAATTATGAAAAATGTTACGAACTCAGCTCATTAGGCACTTTCAGATGAAGCAATAAAAAAATTGCGTGCAAATTCTCCATTATGAAATTAAACAGCACCCTAAGACAGATTCAACGTTGCTGGCTCGGAAAAACATTTGTCAGCAAATTTTGGCTTGAGGCAGTAAAGATTTAGCATGACTTACCTTTTGTTTTTGAATTTTAAAGCCTCTTGGGAAAACCACTGGTTGATTGACCTCTTTATGTCGTCCTCCGAGACGTGGCATTCGTGAATGAGGCTCGTAGCATCTGAAAGCACAAATAGAACAGAATTTGCTGTAGAAGATTGAAGATTTAGACAAGCAATACTTAATTGACGTTCACAGACATGTGACAATGACTCTACCTCTCTGACCCAGGAGCATTGTTTGCCCCTGTGTGAGGGCTTAAAGCAACCCAGCAAAGCTGGTGACAGCAGTGAACATGAAAAATAATAATAATAATGATAATAATCCAATTAAAAGTTTTAATCCCAATTTTAAATTTTCCTCTTTTTTTTAATTAATCGGAAGCAATTTTCATCATTTTTAAAAAATAAAAAAAACTCCTGTAGGGCTCTCCTTTGCATTGAAGTGATGGGGGAGGACTAAATATCTCCCCACTTCGAGCTGTGAATTGAGAGACGAGAACATAATAATAATGGAATAGTCCTCTCTTTTTCTTGTCTCTTAATTCTCTTCTCAGTTTTTTTTTTTTTTTTAGTTTTCTATTCTTAACAATTTTCTATTAAATTTCTACTTCTATATTTATTAAATTTTCTATTCTTTAAAAATTTAATGATTAGGGCATGAGAAAGACCCAAGACTCTAGTCCTTGACTCGTCTTGGGTTCTCAATACCAGGAGAAATCCTGCAAGATAAAAAAAAATAATAATAATAATAATACCACTTTGTTCTTAAAACTTCGTTAGTTTCTTCGGATTTATCTTTCTCCTCCTGTGAATACTTAAAAATACCATAGAAAGTACTTATGGAAAAAACTCACCGAGGAGAATATCCTTCAAATTCAAAATTCGGAAGGCATACTTTCTTTTTGTGACGTTCTTTTCAGTCTCATCTTTCTTGTTCGTTCGATTTACACCTTTCCATGTGAAACGTCCTGTTAATGACAAATGCAGTATTCTTGCCATGATGCTTCTAGCTGTATGCGTTACATGAGCGCCTTTAGAAACTGTGTGAGACAGTGCACTATACTGCGGAAAAAAAGAGACGAGAAAAATATATGATATAAAGGAGCAATATAAAGTAAGTAATGAGCTTACAATTAGTTGGAATTAGTCGAGAAAAATTTAATTATGAATGATTGCGTCAACACACTGGATAAATAAAAACGGGCAGTCACCATCTGCTACTTTTTGTAACAATACATAAAATACGGGAAACTATTTTACAATAAGGTAGAAGGCTACACAAAATTGTTTCATTTTTAACATAATTATACCTGATATGCTGGAAAATTATTGTAGCTTTTCTTACAGATTTTCATGTATCCTCCTAAAATTTGATTCAACTAATATAGAGCTGGAGATGTATACCTTAGACCCTGAGATGGCCCCAGAAAAGAAAACAAATTTCCCGTCTTCTTCAGATTTACCCTGACCCATTTCAAAAACTTCTGACTTTAGGAGAAACCCAGGATGAAAAATAATAATTTAAAGGAGTTCCTATGAGAAAACAGCCAAAGTGGAAGCTAAGAGAGGAGATACAATATGTAAAACTTTCCAATTCACAGTTGCAATTTCAATCAAATTTCAAAATTCCCTGACCCTGGGCGCTGAAATTCCTAGACTTTTCCTCAACTTCTTACAGGAAAAGAAAAAAAGGGCTTATTTATAAACAGTGATCCAAACTTCGACATTTTGAACCGAAGCCCTGAGAATTTCCCTGACTTTTCCAGGTTGTTTTCAAATTCCTTGAGTTTTTAAGGTTTTCCATGACCCTCGCAACTCTGTTATTCAGTGCACAGAGTTTGCCCTTGGCGATGGATCACTTCGTTCTTTTACCCGGATTTTTTCAGGTTTTCCCCGGCTGTTAACACCCTGGAGTCCCAAGCTGTGTCAGTAGGCTTAAACCCTATGACTCATTTTTGACCCTATATGACCCATCCTTGAAAATATTTTTTTACCATTAAAGATGAACTGAGGAACAGAGAGAAAGAAAGAGTCAAAGTAGAAAGAAACTAAACTGTTTGCATTCTAAAAGAGCACCTGTTTCAGGCATTTATGACTGACTGTTTTTTAGGATTGATAATAGATAAGGAACTGATTGATAAGTAAGTTATTACTTGCAGGGCTGACTAGTTTCGGAACCAATCAATTCTAATGGTAAGATAAAGATTTCCAAAGTGGGAAACTGAAATCAGTAATGTTAACTCACCAAATTCTGACGGGCCAGGACATTGTTCAGTTCTTGCTCACATTCCCGTAAAGCTGTCAAGGACTCAAAGGGCAGTTGGTTATATAATTTCCAGTCAACTTCATTCTTAGGTAGTTGAGGAGGTAATTTGAATGGATTTTTCTCCACCTCATTTTCTGTCTTCTTTGAACTTGAAGAGGTATCAAATTTATCCATGAGGGTATCTGAAACATTTAACCAGATAATTAAGTAAGCCATACCCTTTTGACAGGAAGGACCATTTAAAAGATTCATGAAAAATTGGTTAAAAGTACACAGTGAAAAATGGAAAGCATAAACAGTTTAAAGGCAGAAGATGGAAGCGGTGACAAAGCGTCATAATTGGACCGCGTTTAACAGAAAGGAACCAAGCACCATCAGCTGTTCCCCGTATTTAATTGAGGTATTTCATTTTCTACAAGAGAACGTTTGTTCGATTTTTTTTTGAAAATTTTAGGAGATCTGCCTTGTAACATGCAGAAAATTCATTGAAATTTTCAAACAAATCCGCTTCACCGTTTTCATGTAATAAATTAAACTGCCCAATTAAATTTGGCAATAGCTGATGTGGCTTGGTTCCTTTCTGCTTAACACAGTTCAGTTTGCATTGTTGCTGCCATAAAAATACTGGAAATGGGTAAACTAGTGACGATTTAAGAGTAGATTCTACAAAATGAATTGACAAAATTGGTAAGGAAAAAAAAAATTGTGAGGCAGAATTACTAGACGCCTTATTTTCACCATGTTTACTTTGGAACATTCTCAGATGGTGACTTAGAAGTGAGGATTGAAGTTGATGTTGGTTATGAACACAGTAGAATGGATTACTTACGGAAAATGAAACATTGATTGCAAGTTATTTTCTTAAGGTCAATGGGGCCTTCGGACAAGCAAGGGTACTTATGTGTGAACGAACACCCCCCTGATGCTTCGCAACTCATGTCCTTGGGAGTTGAGTCGACTTTCTGTTGCGGTTTTGAGAGACTTTGAGATGAGTGCTTATCTTTGCTACTTTTTTCATGCGCTATTTTGGGTGGAGACTCAGCATGAATTCTGTCTTTCTGCGGGCTCGAGAGACTTTGAGATGAGTGCTTATCTTTGCTACTTTGTTCATGCGCTCTTTTGGGTGGAGACTCAGCATGAATTCTGTCTTTCTGCGGGCTCGAGAAACTTTGAGATGAGTGCTTATTTTTGCTACTTTTCTCATGGGCTCTTTTGGGTGGAGACTCAGCATGAATTCTGTCTTTCGTTGAGCTGGTGCTCTCGACTGCTGAAAGATCTTCAGGTGTGTGGAATTCAGGGGTTGACTTCTTCCTAGCATCCGGAGTTTTGGGATTCACTGTGTCCACAGGAAACTTTGGAATCTCAGTTAAAACTGGCTTCTTTTTGTGCTTCGGCTCCTTGCCCTTCTTAGAACTGCCGGCGAAAAAATCTTCCATCGACTTCGTCATGATTCTTTTCCTTTTAGAATTTGCCAATTCTGCATCACTGTCTCTTTTCAGACGGTGGCCTTTCGTTAGTCTCACCATGTCAGTGAAGGCTTGTTCAAATGATTCTGTAAGAGGTGGGAAAAAAATTAAAATGAACCGATAGTGGTACAGAAAAATTGATTCGATTTTATATTCACACAGACTTATTTTAAGTACTCGTCCCACTTTAATTTCGGTCCTTCATCTTGACTCAGGAATGAGAGTGGAAATGAAAAGTACCACAGAATGAATGCTGGCACCCCCCCCCCCCCAAATAAATTGAGGTTTACAGTCGCTCAGCAATTATAATCTTCCGTTTGGAGTACTTTTGTGTGATGACAAATTACAGACAACAAATGATAATGCAATGTAACGATGATGGAGTGACGTATGTTAACTTTTTGGTTTTTGCAAATTTTAAGGGTGTGGTCAAGTAATCTTCAGGGGCTAGAAATTCTTTTTGATATATTCTGTCATCTGCACACCCTGTATGTTTTTTCAAGATTTCACGTAAAATTTGAGGGAACTGATAATTATAAATTGACAAAAATCATGTGCATGTAGACAGTACATATGCGAAGGGACCTTAGTGTACTAAAACTCTAATTTGAGTTACAAAAGCATAGATGACAGTTTTTTCAACATATTGAGATGAAAAACGCCTGAAAATGGCAAACCAAAGCATAGTTATGGGAGCTGGAAGTTGCAATTAAAAAAAGCAGTTTTGAAGAAAAAAACTACTTAAAATTGTAGATAGCTGTGATAATAAGGGCATGGCATTGCAAGCTAATAATGAAACTTGACACTGGATGTTGGCACAAAATAGAACTTTACTGCTCGCAACAGCTTACTATGTACGAATGGTATAAAAAACTTTTTTGAGTTCTCATAAGTTTGATTTTTCGTCACCGGTCTGTATAAACCATTGCAGTAAAATTTTTCTGTCGCGATCAAAGGTCTCATGGGCATCTTTGTGTCATTTCTTGGGGTCATTTTCTGTGGACAGTTACATACGGGCCGCGTTAAACAGAAAGGAACCAAGCCACATCAGCTACTGCCAAATTTAATAGGGCAATTTAATTTTTTACATGAAAACTGTTGTGCGGATTCTTGTGCAAATTTCAATGAATTTTCTCCATAATAAATAGCAAATTCCTTAAAATTTCTAAAGGAATCCGCACAAACATTCTCTCATAAAAAATCGAATTCCCCTGTTGAATTTGGCAATACCTAGCTGATGTGGCTTGGTTCCATTCTGTTTGACGCGGTCCATATATCAATTGGTTTGTTAAAAGTTTTGGTACTTTTCGATACAAAATTGACTTTTGCACTGTTTAAGTTCAGTTACCTAACTTGAAGGACACAAATTAGATGGAAATTAATAAGATTAAAGTATGAGATGCTGAAAAGTGGAAAAAATTAGGAAGATGCTTACGATAGTTCTTTTCGATTAATTTGACGGTCACAGTTTTCCAATTATCCGCATATTGTTGTCCTTTTTTTGCTAAAACATTGGCATTAAAGTTCTCTGGAGGATATTTAGCGTTGAATACGCCTCGTTCAATTTCCTTATCATCTTGGATCCAATTGTTTGAAAAAACATCATATTCATCTTCCTCCAGGTTGAAGACTAGAGTCCAAAGATCTTCTACTAGTCCTTCATTTGGGTTTGCAGAATCTTTGGTCGGTTTTGATCCCTGCAAACAATAAGAAATGTTTAGTAACGCCTGTTCGCCAAGCATGGAAACTTAAAACTAACAGCAACGCCACATTGAAGAACGCTTTATAATTGAAAGTACAATTTTTCAAAGGATCCAAAAGGAACTGGTAGTGGTTCTCAACTGTTTAGCTTGATGTAAGGGTTATTCTATGGTTTTATTTGTATTCTTTTCAAAAATGCAAATAGGCTAACAATCAGTAATAAGGGCAGTAATGAATTGCATTCCCTGATGAGGAACAACTGTGTATGGCTCGACATTTATAAAAGTACCTATCTTCTGAGGGAAACTTAAGGCACATTTGTTGTTTACTTTTACAATGAGTCAAAAAAGTTACTTCCTTTTCACGCGAGCGATCCATATAAAAGTGCTTTGAATATTACTATTTAACTTCATCGGAATGTTGGACTACATTTGAATCCTAAGAAATATGGGGTTCAGAGTAGAAAACCACGTTTTCAGAATTCTCTTGGAAATTCTGATAGAATATGGAAGAAAAGTACAAAACGGTTCCAGCTGTGAGGCACATGCAATCGGTGAAGGTGAGGCATGAGTTAAGGTTAGAAGATTAAGATACGTGCTGCAGTTGGGGTGCACAGCAAATGCGTACCAGCAGAAACTATAAAAAGGTGAAACCTAGTAAACCCATTGTCCCAGTTGGTGTTAAAAAATAAATGAAAATAACAAGCAAGAATGAATGAAGCAAGGACGGAAAGTTAGAAACCCATGAAAGCGGTCGATCATTTGTATTTGCTCTTCAATAACAAGGCAGAAAACAGTAGTGTGTATAAAAAAATTTACTAACTAAAAAAACTAACTAACTAAAAAACTACGAGAAAAAAAGAGAGAGAAGGGGGAAAAATTGAGATTTAAGACAGGACATCTTCAGCTCGACCAAAAAATAAAATATGTCTTAAGCTTCAGGAAAAAGAATTACAACTAACAAAACACTTCAAACCACAATACTTTCACAACGCACACTTAAGAATCCCATTAAAAAATAAGCTGCTAATTAGACTTACCGAATAACTCAGGGATAACTTAAAAACCAACTCGAATGCTTACAGGATTTGGAAATTCTCAAGAATATTTGAGGAAGAAAAGTCCAGGAAGGTCAAGCAATACGAAAGCAAAAACCGAAAAAGAATTACACCAAATTTGTTTTCATTGTACTTACATAATTTAACAAATAGGCGAGGACAGTGTGGAAGCTACTAGTCAATATGAAGCTCCGGAAAGACGACAAAATCTTCTTTATATGGAAGTCTGACATATTTTGTAACGATGGATGAAAGTGGCCATTTTTCGACTTTCTTCGATAACTGAGCTACTTTGTAAATTCCCAGTTTTGAGCTTTCCGCCACCGGTTCAGCAAACAAATTGTACTTTTGGAGGTATCTCCTGCCAAGAACAACTTTAGTGTCCAGTTCTTCGTCGTGAATAAAATTTTGAACTAGGATAACGGTGCCTTTGTCAGTGCCACATGTGCAATCAGCCAGGTTTTCTGAAGAAAGAGTGAATGACGGAAACTCGGCTACCTTATATTGCCGACCATTGCAGGATAGAGGCTTTGGCCCCTGCTTGTGCTCTTTGAGCAGTTTGATACCTTCTTTAGGCTTTGAGGAATATTTCTGCCTCCAGAATACAGATCCAAATAACTCGCGTAGCCTACGGACAATTTGTTGCAGAGCCTTGCTTCGACCCCGTGTGAATCTTTTAAAAAAACTTATAAAGTTCTCAAATGGAAATGCCGATAGGCTGTTAAGAGTGAAATTATCAATAGACTCTCTAAAAAACTCAACATCTTCAGGAAGGTGAATTAAAGAATGACAATTATGCGATACATAAGCCTCTCCGTACAATGATCTGACCGATTGGACAAAATGGACAGGTAAAGACTTTGCATATTTTCGATTCCCTTCATCAGCAATGAGTGTTCTACTATGGTAAATGGTCATGGCAATACTTAGCTCAAGGAAATGGAGGTAGTTGTCGACTGGTAGGATTCCTTTTAAGAGGACTGGTGCAAGGTATAGCAAGAACAACCTCAGTTCGGTGGCTTTCTAAATGGCAACTTGGTGAATTTCTCTGGGTTTGCGGGAAAATTCTGCTGGAATGAACGGGATGCATCTTTCAAGCCGATCTTGGAGTTCTTGACGCAAGGCTGGGCGCAACTTGTGTGGCCGTTTCCCCTTGACCCACAAAGTAAGGAAGGCCTTGGTGCAACCGATAAACACCATATGCATCGTATCTAACACGAATGACTTACAGAAGTGCAATGATGGAACTTCCAATAAAGCAGAGTCCTCCTTTGATGGAGGTTGAAATTTCTTATAGACTCTGTTTCGAAATTTATTGTCCTCTCTAAGGGGGGCATTAACATTCGGAAAACATCTCCTCTTGCTAATGGTTTTTCCTTTAGTGGTGCATCTAAAGCAGGAAAAATATCCTGTGTGGCCAACCGTTTCTAAAATGGATGAGCGTGCAGGTGTATCGCAACAGAAGCCAAGAAGTCGTACTGGTACAAACTGACCTTTGATCAATACATCACTCTTCATTAAAATTTCCTTCAGTTCATCGACGAAAGGCTTTAAAAAAACTGAAAAATCTTTCGGCTTTGCAGGACCATAATAAAGTCCGATTGGAAAAACCTTTCCAGCTAGGGATGGTATGGATGCAATAGTCACTAAGATGGGCCACAGTGTCCAAGAGCTGTTTTCGAACAATTGCATTCCATCAATGTTGAACAGTAGTAACAGAGTAAGCACGGTAGCTTCTGTGATCACAGTTCCAATGAATTCAAACTGATTCAACAGACCCAAATGAATATATTTTCCTGGTGGGACATCAACAGGATCTAATTTATCGGTTGGTGTGTTCATAATGGTACGTGCATCAGAGGGCAGACTGTCAAAACATTCTGGATGTTCTGATTTTAGACCGTGGAGAAGGTGGGTAAGAGAATTAAGAGGAGTGCAACGTTCTAGTGACCATTCTCGAAGAAATGTTTTTAAGTTGGATAGAGGATCGACATCTGGTGCAGATGCTTCTTTTCGGCCCTCACAAAATGCAGCAAATACTTCCTCTTCATTCAGTTCTTCGATTTCTCTTTGTTCGTCGTTTCGAGAATTCCCATCATCTGCATCTAAGAAAACTTCCTCATCCTCATCGAAGTCATCATCCGAAAACAAGCAATAAGTTACTGGGTCATCAAATGACTGCAAGTCAAAAGCATCACTTTCAGCTTCTAAAAAGACATCGTCTACAAATTCATCTGCACCTGTAGCAAGTGCAACCTCAGTGTACTCATTGAAACCTTCACCTGGAGCAATTGTGACACTATTTGTGTCTGAGTTGTGGAACGTAGAATTGCATGTATCATCAGGAAAATTTGAAAATGAGGATACATTAGAGAAACTACAGTCCGCTTGAACATGTTGCAGACCAGACTGCTTTTGAGGCGTACTACTGAGAGTGCCTGAAAACGAGGGCTCATCGTCATCAGATTCAAACGCAATGACAGAGGAATTAACTGTGGCAGATGATGAAGCTATTGAGCTTTCAGATTCGCCGTAAAAATTGGTCTTTTGTTCTGCCGCCCTTTTTTTCCTTTTCCATTCCCCCTGCCTGGTGATGTTCCCCGAGGACCTCCCACGCTTCTGTCCCTGTTTGAACAAACATTTCAAGAGATCCATCAGAGAACGTTAGCCACATAGCTGCTGGGATGTCAGCAATCTGTATAGCAGCTATTAACAGCAATATGAAAACTGAGCAAGGAGTCTCAATTCAGATTTTGAAATAGGACTTGTATCACAGAAGATTTGAAAAAGAATAAAACACAGCAGCCCGGAACGAGACAAGCATTAGAAAACCTCACAAAGTGTGGATAACAAAGGCTGAAAGTTCAGCTGTTTTAAAAGGCGTTGATAGGGATGGGGAGAGGAGGATGCGGTCCTTGGAACCCTGAAACGTTTCGGCTTCTTGAAAAGACATCTGAATTTTAAGGCTTGGTCACCCAAATTTTGTGTGGTTTTTAATTTACTACCTCCGCCGTGTGATGTCGCCAGTCGGGTATTTCCGTCAGCTTAAAACAACAGTACAGAAACTTCAGATAGGAGGTGGTCTATGAAAAAGCGTACCCTCCATGGAGCGGGTAGGCGGGCAGAAAGTGGAACTGTCAATTACTATTCTTGTCATCAGCTCAATTACATGGGACATTATGCAGGTTATTAAAATAAATGATTAGACAGATATACTGTCCTGAACTCACTTAATAGCCTGAATTCGATGCCTGGAGACAGATATTCAAATACATTGTTCTGAATTTGATACAAGTCGGAAAAAAGCAACTTTCCTATGTGAAACGAACAATCATTGTCCTAACCTGATTGTTGGTACGGTTGGGGTACGAAGCTAACTGTTAGCAGGGCATGGGATCACTCTCTAGTTTTAACCTTGATTTTAGAGGTACAGCCGTCATAGTCCTCAATTCCTCAATTCTTCCGAAAATGAGTTTGACAAAAATTCTGGAGAAGAAAGTTGGGAATGGGCCTCCTTGGAGAATACTCCAGACGCAAAGTTCACCAATACGTCTGTATGATCCGGCATCAACCTCCAATTTACACTTTATGAAGGTTTTGTGGAATTCGTCTCCTTCTAAGAGATCGGACTGTCTCAGCTCTTTAAGAGCCAGAAAAAAAAGCTCCTTGACGATGCCAAATCCAAGTCCCTTTTCACCTTTGAAATCAGCGTACAATCTAGAGAGGATTGATGTGTTCTGCATTTGCAAAACATTGTACAGTAAAGGTAAAACTTCTTCACATCTATTGGCACTGATGTAAAGTAAATCATCATCATTTATGTAATTTCTGACTTCGATTAAGAATGAGTGGACACAGGCTTGATTCACTGAATGAGAATCTTCTACAGAAATTATCTCCATTCTCGCAGATTTTATTTTCTTTGATTTCTTTCTTGGCAGAAAAATGTCACTGGAGTCTTCATCTGATGAGAGATCTATAACTTCCTCCTGGTCATCATCTCGCTTTGTTACACTGGTTTCCACTGTGTCGCAACTATTTGTAATTGTATCCGATTTCGGTCTGATGTAGAGAGGAGTTCTGACACTGGAATGACTATTTAAAAAGTCTCCATCGAGGTCCTCCGGTGAAACAAAGAATTTGTGTAGCTTTTTTCCATTTTTTGA